AAATTTAAGCAAAAATTAAGGTTGGTTAAAAGTTTATAATTTAACCAGAAATTAAAGTTAGCTAAATTCAAAAAAAATAAAATAAAAAAAAAAAGAAGCCTTAAGATTACTAGTGCATGATATTTAAAGTTATGCAATAACATCATGAGAAGCTATATAAAGCCAATTGCGAATATTGAAGATTGATCAAAACATATCTACAAAACATAAAAGTTATATAGTTAAACAAAAGCTTGAAATTATTTCAAAAGCAAAAGAAATATCTAATAAAGCAGCAGCGTGAATATTCGGTATTGATTATTCTCAAGTATCCAGGTAGCAAAAACAAGAAAAAAAGTTAGAAGAAGCTATGCGTTCATATAGAAGTGTCAGTTCTGAAAGGAAAGCTATATATCCTTTTGCAGAAAAGGTGTTAAATGAATGGGTTGTTCAATTACGACAAGATGGTCTTGTAGTAATATTGTCTACAATAAAGCTTAAAATGAAAGAGCTTCTTAGAACTAGGTTTCAACAAGACTACTCTAATACTTTAGAAACTTTCGAAGTTTCAAATTCTTGGTATCAGGGATTTATGAACCGATATAATCTTGTGCTTCGATGCTATACTAAAGTTGGGCAAAAACTTTCTCATGAATTATCTAAACAATTAGATCAGTTTTATAAATTTATCAAAAAGTCATAACATATAAATAACTATGAGTTATCCTGTATAGCAAATATGGATGAAATGCCCATTTACTTTGATATGGTTGGCAATCTTACTGTAAATTACCGTTCAGCAAAAACAGTTCAAATAAGAACTACAAGTAGGGTTAAACAAACTTTGTATATAATAGTTATATCCTGTATAGTTGGGTATGAGGAGAATTTTGCAGTGAGTATAATCGGCTACATAAGTAGCCAATTATACTCACTACAAAATTCTCTTTATATCCAACTACACAGGATATATTATAGTTTAACTTACACTAAGACACTTATTGTAACTTACATATTACTCATATAAGAAATTTTAAACTTACAAAAAATTCCCAACCCTAACTATAGGCAATAAAAAAAACCAGTTCACGTGTATTCTTGCAATCTTGGCTGATAGAGTTAAACTCCCCATGGTAATTTTCAAAGGCAAAAGACTTCTCCGAGGTCTGTTTCTCTTGGGTATTGTTATTAAAATACAAGAAAATGGGTGGATGAATAAAACTTTAATGAATGAATAGTTAGATGAAATTTGGAAAAAAAGGATTTCAACTTGTGAACAAAAACGTAGCTTATTAGTGATGGATTCTTTTGAAGGATATCTTACTAATTCTGTTAAAGCAAAATATAATAAAATGAATACGGTTAGAGACATAATCTCTGGTGGACTTACTTCGTTAGTTCAGCCACTTGATATATATATCAACAAACTGTTCAAGAACCGAATGCGAGAAAAATAGCAAAACTAAATAGCACTTGGTGGTTTTGATTTTATGAAAAGAGGAAATTTAAAAAAACCTCTATATAATCTTATTTGTCAATGAATAGTTGAGACGTGAGCTGATATTCCAGCTGATATGATCATTAATTCATTTAAAAAATGTGGTATTCCTCATAGTATTAAAACAAAATCAAAAAAACAAATGGTAATTTCGGTAGATGATGAAGAAAATTACCTGATCATCTATATTAAAAATCTGTCTAAGTACTGGTTAGTAATTAAAAAAAAAAACAAAAAAAAAACAAAACAAAATCTAAACCTAAACTAACTACTTAATTAGGATTAGATAGTTGTACAAGTTAATACATATTTAGCAACAAATAATCTATACAGATTTAAATTACTTCTTCATATACCAGAGATAGTTTCACTAAAGATTCAATATAGAATTTATGCAATAAGCATGAAAGTTAATGATACTAATAAAATCCTCAGTGATTATAAGATAGTAAATATCTTTACTATAGTTCATTTATTAAAAATTACAAATACTGATAGTATATAAAGTTTTGGTGAATTAGAATTGTGATTCTACAATATAATGCAAAACTATAATAAAGCTATTGAATTTGCTTAATACAAACATTTGAAGACTGAATTGATTGAAAATTTTATTCATATAATTATCTAACAAAGGCATAAAAGCTTATTTTAATTTTTACAACTTAGAAGTAATGAACCAATTATACAATTTATACAATTCAATTTTATTGTATTATTAATACTTAATACCGGCAATTTCATATCATATAAATGATTGAATTAAATTTTATAAATTATTATATGACAGGATGAAACCTGCGCAGAAATAGTTACATTATTGATGCAAATCCTAACTAAAATAGTAACTAACTCTAATTAAATATAGATCTGCATCAAGAAAGTTATCACCTCTGTACGGATTTCATCTTTTTATATTATTATCATTTATTTTTAATAATCATCTGAATTGACAAAATCTGCCTATACGATAGAATTCGTAATTTATATGTATAGTATATATATTAGATTTACTGATGATTATGAAAAACAACAAAATAGAAAACAAACCTGAAAGCTCTGATAGAAGAAATGCTGGAAATAGCAAATAAAAGAAAGCATTAGAATATTATCAAAAATCAGTGGAGATGGCTTATGCTGATGGAATGTATATGGACGAATATTGCTATGAGAGCAGAAAAGGAATAAACCAAGACATAAAAAATCTATAGGTACATATAATTCAATTATTGATATCTTAAATTTTAAATTTTAATGATCTATTAGATACGTATAAAGAACTTTGTATCAAACTATAAATAATAACAAGAAATATAAAGCTATACAAAATTAATTTTTTGTTTTTTATAACATAACATTTCAAAAATAACCTGGCCGGCCGGCTTTTATTTTTTAGAAATTTTTTAAAAAAATTTTTAAAATCCCACCTGACCATTAAAACATATAAAAAAATTTCCAAAATTTCCAAAATTTGACCTGGCCAGATTAAGAAAAACAATTGAATTTGTATAGCCTAATAATTAAATTAATATACTATAAATAAATTAAAAGGAATATAAATAACTGCAAGTAAAAAGT